ACCCCTTCCAGTGCTCCATCGAGGACCCCACCAAGCAGACCAAGTTCAAAGGCATGAAGAGCTACATCGCCTACAAGCTGGTGCCCAGCCACACCGGGCAGCAGGTTCACCGCCGCTACAAGCACTTTGACTGGCTCTATGGGCGCCTGGCTGAGAAGTTCCCCGTCATCTCCGTGCCCCACTTGCCAGAGAAGCAGGCCACCGGCCGCTTCGAGGAGGACTTCATCTCCAAACGTCGCAAAGGCCTGGCCTGGTGGATGGACCACATGTGCAGCCACCCCGTGCTGGCTCAGTGCGATGCCTTCCAGCACTTCCTCACCTGTCCCAGCACGGATGAGAAGGCCTGGAAACAAGGCAAGCGCAAGGCTGAGAAGGATGAGATGGTGGGTGCCAACTTCTTCCTGACCATCAGTGTCCCCACGGGCCCCGGGGCCGGCCTGGACTTGCAGGAGGTGGAGAGCCAGGTGGATGGCTTCAAAGCCTTCACAAAGAAGATGGACGAAAGCGCCCTGCAGCTTAATCACACGGCCAACGAGTTTGCCCGCAAACAAGTCACTGGTTTCAAGAAGGAATACCAGAAGGTGGGGCACTCCTTTAAGTGCCTCAGTCAAGCGTTTGAGCTGGACCAGCAGGCCTTTTCGGCTGGCCTCAACCAAGCCATAGCCTTCACTGCAGAAGCCTACGACGCCATCGGGGACCTCTTTGCAGATCAGCCCCGGCAGGACCTAGATCCTGTGATGGATTTGTTAGCGCTGTATCAGGGGCATTTGGCCAACTTTCCAGACATCATCCATGTCCAGAAAGGTAACACCCTTTCGTGTTTTCTGAAACGATGGTTTTATGTATCAGTGGTATGTACACAGATGTAGGGACCAGGGGCTAACTTTGCCCCGCGTCTGGCTTGCTGGTCTTGGGTTATATATTTCCATGTTTACTCAGGTAGACTGTTGCTAAAAATACAAAAAAACACATCAGTGACAGTTTTCGTCTGTGCCAAAGGTCTAGACGTAGTTGGGAATTTTACTGGTCAGAGATTGCTGCATTTGGCTGTGTATCTCTGAAAGAAACCACATCTGCTATACTGCTGGTACATTAAAGATTAATGAGCTTGTTTACAAACCCTGGAGATAAAGTGGTATGAAAACATCTATTACTCTTTGATATACCTTAGGTATCTTAAATCTCTGATCTAGTAGATAATAAATATGAAGTAATCTGAAATGCAGGTACTCCAATTGACCACCTTGTTTGAGGTACGCCTGGTGGTGTGTGCATTTTGCAGTGTCAGACAGTCAGATGAAATGTTTAAAGCCGCTGGGGTTTCTCAGTTCGGCCATGCATTAAACTCTCCTGATGCCTTTGTAAGAATAATGGTCTGCCGTGGTGTTCTCAGTTGGGAGTTGTTCATCCTTTGCCCTTGTTATCATAAAAGGATGTTGCTCGCCTGTTATCCTTTCCGCATCTTTCTAGCTGAAACATGCTTCTGAGGTTCAGGTTGCTGTTTGTATGGCGCTTTGTGATCCGTCAGAAAGAAACTCCAGAAATGAAAGAATCATCTGGTATACAACTAGTGACGCTTGTTCAGATAAACAGAAGTTTGTAGCACTGTCTAAGTGTAGATGATGTCCCTGCTGTGAAATGAATGATGTTCATATAGTCTTCACCATTGTGAGAAGACTAGCCCATCATTCCTTCTTTTTGCTGTTATATTCCTTGCCTGTAGTTTTCAACTCAAAAATCGGGGCAGGGTGGGGATTGGGGCTGTAAAAGAGACCAAGAAAACATCACATATGCTCTGCAAAAGCGATGAGTGTAACAGTTACGTGAGGAAAATGCATGAGCTTTATTGAAAATTATTTTGGAGATTAATAAATGGTGTTCTGCATCCCAAGAGGCAGAGCTGGAATTGTCAGTCATGGTGAATCAGTCTTTTGTGCCCTTATGTGACATTTCCAGGGTTTTTGCGTCTGGAACAGTACCTTGAGTTTGACGATAAAAGAGTTGGAAGAGTTTTTTCAACAGATCAAAAAGGCAGGCTTCTGGGAGGTATGCATTATTTCTGGAAAAATCTGAGGAAACAGAGTTGGTACAAAGCGCACAATTTGTTGCTGTTTAAGAAAGTAAGCTTTTCATAAAAAATTACATGCATCAAAGTCAGATTTCCATTCTCCTGTCGAATCTTGAATATTGTGAGTGGAAACTGAAACAATCTTAATACTATTTTGAAGAGAAAAGGGAAGTGTGCAGTCTAACCTTTGAGGAGTTGTTCTGCTAGCTTCTGTGGTGCGTTCTGATAGCAACTTTCAAGTATCTTAAATTTGGAGAGAAGGGTGACCTTGGCAATGCCTCGTCTTTGGGAGTAGAGCAGAGCGTTTTAAAGTAAGTTGTCAACTAATAATAGGATTATCTGTAAGCTTCTTGAAAAAAATAAATGGAAAGATTTTTTATTAGGTGGAAAAAACCAGCAGATTATATATACTATTTAAATAATATGTCATCAAGCTTTAAGGCTATATAGAGTTCTTCACTACAGTATTTTTGGAGACGAGGTTTTGAAGAGAGGATTGGGAATAATAAGATACGTGCTTGACTCAACCCTATTTCTTTTATAGGTCTGTTTGAATTTGTGTTTACTGGTTAGGTTTACCTTGCTGAACCAGGGAAAGTTCATCTAAATGAGCTTCCACTAGAGCAGTGCATGAGCATGGCGTACGTAGAGTTGATTTTGTGCCAGAGCACTGTCCTGGAGCTGGTTGGAGAAACGAACAGCCTGTCTGTGTGCAGGTGTTAATGCTCCAGCACCTCTGGGCTAACACTGCCTCCAACACAGTATTACCCCTGGTACATACTTACCGTCAGCAAATGGCATGGGCTTGAGAAGTGGGTCGCTTGAGTGTCCACGTTCATGGTAGGAACAGGGTTAGAACCGGGTTACGTGTTTGTTGTTGTCGTTCCTGTTATGAAACAGGCGAACTGGAGGAAGACTGAGAGGAAGATGGTTTTTACCCCTAGTACGTTGCTGTTTTATTACTCTTGTAACAAGGTATAACTTTTCAATTCCAAATTGTAAACTTCAGATGAAAATATGAACTGTTTGGTGTTCTTAAAACATAAGAGCTTTCTTTTAAATTTACTATCTGGGATAGTTGCCAGTTTTGAGAATTATTATTGTCTGTATAGACTAAACAAATATCTGTTGGTGATAATATATCATCTGAAAAATAGAGTTGACATGTCTTTCTTCGAGTGTTTTATTTTCTAGTGTACAACTTCTTCGTGCAGTAAAATGACCCCAAAGAATGACCCCAAAGTGCCTTTAGAAGTGGTAGAAAGAGCAGCCTGATTGGTGCATTGCTTACATGGCCATGCCTTTAAAAAGATGAACTCTGAAGTTAGGAGTACTTCTCCTTGTTTTCTACATAGTGCAAATATATTGTCCACTTGAGATAAAAAACAAGGCCTTTTCTAGACTCCATTTCTGTATTCCCCTAGACCTGAGAAGGACCGGAATATAAAGGCAGCTGTGCCAAAAAACATGCCCGTGTCTGCTGGTAGAATGTTCAACTGCATTGTCCTGATACGGGTTTGCTCTACCACAGATCATTGAACAGCTGCTGAATGTGATTTGGAAGTGTGTTTTGTGGTACGGACTGAGAAGTATGGACCTCTGGGTTTTTTTAATAATTTCTGCAACTTCTGCAGGAAGAAGGACAGAGAATCCGTAAGTCAAAGACAAAAAATTTCCCTCCGTTTGGGCTTGGTCTTTTCTCCTAGAATTATGAACCAAAGCCATGTAAGCCCCGCTGTTGCTTCGTCTGCTTATCAGCA